CCCCCTAGACAAACCTCGCACCTGCGGCACTCGGCTCGTGCCTTCGGCCCTCGTTTATCAAGCGAAAAATTATAGGGGCGCATATTTGTTGACAGCCCACTGGCCCCCCCAGAAAAATAGTACCCAGCACGCCACTGGTCACAGGTGCAAACCCCACCCCCAAACGAGCATATGACGTTTCTCGTGGAAAAAATCGATATGTGAGGTTTCCCTTAGACAACGGCGTAAAATCATCTGGTGCCGGCTGTTCAAAGATGGATTAGCGCGGGTTAAGATTTACCTGCTGTTTTAGTTTATGTATTTCTGCACGTCTGTTTATTTCAAAACTTCAGAGAGGAGAACTCCTACTGATCTCTGAAGAAATGTTTTCAAAGTTATAAACAATTTTAGGTTAACTAATTAGGGTTAAGAATTACTTAAGCCAGTAACCCAGCTTTGAACAACTAGTGGCCCCAGCTGGTGTTAGAATAAAAACCAACACTAGACTACTCACAAAAATACATATGAGAAAACTTTACACATGAAAAATTAACTCGTTATTTGAACAAAACAACAGGAAGCCGACTGCCAATTAATTTTTAAGGTCGCAATATTTACGAAGCAATTTGTTTGCGGTAGCATTACGCAAAAGCAAAAGTCTACACAGACTTTGAGTTGTCAAAACATTTGGCTAGCAAACACACAATTGCAAAAAAACATACTTTGAAACTTGGGCTCAACTTTGCAACAGTTGCGGAAGTGGGAGTTTTAAGAAGCAAAATTAATGTTTTAGGCCAAAGGCAATATAAAAGTAAGTAGATCAACGATAATTCTATTTTGTTTGAGGAAATTGCCTTATGAGTTATGTACTGTATAGGAATTGGCGAAGTGTTATTGCTATGTTTAAAGTTATACTTTCAGTATGTTTAGAGACATGAAGGGACTTGTTTTGAATTTGTCAAATGACATATTATCTGATCCTGGTCTTTTCAGCTAGCTTTATGATATTATTATGAAAGGAATCGCTAAATACTTTATTGGAAATACTATTTAAGTCATAGTCAAGAAATGTCACTATACTTATATTATATTTTGCCCTGATCTCGTACCATGGTTATGGCGTTGTCTCATGATACACACAATTCACAATAAGCAAATTGGAAAATACTAATGTTCGATATTATAACTTTTATTAGCTTTAACCCATGCAATGTATAATACAGTCTGTCAGTGGATAGAGTATTTCAGAGCCGTAATAAAGGGGAAATTAAAAAACTATGCATGGGAATCCGTTTGTGCATCAAGGCTATGGATTTCATTTTGAACTTCCAAACCGTCAGCCCTGTTAGACCAATTCACTCAATATTTGCAAAGTTTCGTGGCAATAATATATTTGAGAGATGTTGTTTAATTTTTTTGAAAGGTCTGCGCAACGACGCAACACAACGACGACGGCAACCAATACAATGAGTCAATGAAAAGAAATAATTATAATATACGACAAGTTTTCTTTACTATCATTTATTTGAAGGAATTTGTTTTGGCCGTCGTCGCCGTGTTTCCGTCCTACATGCTTAGGGGTCCTGAAGGGGTAAAATGGAAACTGGGATTTGCAGTATTTTTGGGTGGGAAAATATGGGATTTCATGCACTGGGACTGGGATTCATCAGCAAAAAAACAATAGAAAATGGGAATGGGATTAAGATTTGAACAGGACAGCCACTGAGATGATGGGATTTGTGCTCTGGGACAATGGGATTTAGTCAAAATTTGGGCTGGGAAATGGGAATACGACCCCCACTTCAGGACCCTCTGCTTAAGCTCGCTAATAATTGATAGGGATGCAACAATCTGAAAAATACTATAGGAGAACTTCTGTAATCAACGTTTCGAACGAAGGTGCTTTGTCTGGAAGTTAGTGCCGAAGGGCCTTCGCTCGAAACATCGAAGCTCTCCTTGTATTCTTCAAGTGTCAACATTTCTGAAGCTGGCCACCAGCTGTTCAAACCCACCAGTATTTTACACTTCTTTTCATTTTATTTTCAGGTCAATACATCAAATAAGGAATTACTCAGCGAGGTTGAGAGACTTCAGAGAATGCAACGCGGGAAAAGTCTAAACGAAAGTTTTGATTCAGAGGCCTTTAACGAGACAGATGCTCTACAACAAAGGGTATTAATTTATCTTATTTGTATTTAGTGCCGTGCCTAATGAACTGTGTAAATAATTGAATGCCTTTTTAATTATTTAACTAGTAAGGATCATCATCTCTTATTGATCCAGTTTTACTACAGGAGGAAACCTAAACTAACTTTATTTATACTGGATAGCTCTATCAGTTCTAAAGTGTTCTTCCTAGAGGTCCAGTAAGGGTCATCTCTTATTGATCCAGTCTTACTACAGGAGGAAACCTAAACGAAACTAATTTTATTTATACTGGATAGCTTTATCAGTTTTAAACTGCTCTTCCTAGAGGTCCAGTAGGGATCATCTATTATTGATTCATTGTTACTACAGGAAGAAACCTAAACTAAACTAACTTCATTTATACTGTGTGGATAGTCCCATTAGTTCTACCGAAGGAAACCAGCGCGGTGTTTGGGAGAGTCAAGGTGAACTCTTTATTGTAGGAATTGAACCCCATGTCACAGGTGAAAGGCGCGTGCACTAACCACCAATCATTACTTGTTGTAAAATAATCTTTACCTTTTACAAAACGTATTGTAATTTTTTTCTAGTTGCTGATTCTGGAAGAGGAACGAAGTGTGTTGGACATGAGTGTCCGCCAGTTGATGTCGGAGAAAGATGAAGTCGGAAAAGAAGTGAATCTCTTGACACAGAAAGTTATAACTTTGACCGAAGAACTTGCTGACAGTAAAAGCGAAGTAAGTTGTGTGTTCTCCACTGTGACCAAGAATTGATTCCTTGTTTGTGTATAGTTTCATCTCTGCATGCAGTCAAAAAGAACGCAGGTTCTTTCTTTAGATACTCGAGTTTCCTCCTGTATTAACACTGGATGAGTAAGGGATGATCCTTACTGGACCTCTAGGGAGAACATTTTAGAACTGATAGAGCTATCCAGTATAAATAAAGTTAGTTTAGTTTAAGTTTCCTCCTATAGTAACACTGGATCAATAACAGACGATCCTTACTGGACCTTTAGGAAGAACAGTTTAGAACTTATATATAGAGCTATCCAGTATAAATAAAGTTAGTTTAGTTTAGGTTTCCTCCTGTAGTAACACTGGATCAATAACAGATGATCCTTACTGGACCTTTAGGAAGAACAGTTTAGAACTGATAGAGCTATCCAGTATAAATA